TTCCAGTTCCCTAAAAACAAGCTGAGACAGGTGTTTTTCTCCCAGACAGCCACTGCATAGGAACCAAAGGGCAAGTGAGCACCTATATAACTTCATATGCACGCGCAGGGCTGTTGTTCACTGCGTATCCATCCCAGTGCTGACAGTACAACAGCTTCGCGACAGGGTCAAGCCTCGCTGCTACCCTTAGCATCACCGTATTTGCATGCACATGCCTGGATAAAAGCAGAATACTGGCGTGTTGCAGGGTCTGTAAGATTAAGTGCCAAAGACCTTCAGCTACAGCATTGCATACGTAGCTGGGAACAAAGGTTGCAGCAGCCTGAGACGACAGGAGTCTTCAGTCCTTAATTGGAAAAATCTCTAGCTGAAAATGGGGCCTGAAGGGTTTGGTGTAAACTTTTGATGAGATTTTAAACATTCTAATGGTTCCAAGTTGGCTTGATCACATCGCCTATGATGTTTAGACAGCTCCAAACCAAAGCCTTGAAATAAATGTATTAGTACTTAAATAAAAAGAAAATGAGTCCCACAGATAATAAAAAGCCCTTCAAAAATCAACTAGGGTTCTGGGAATTTTCTTGCGTATTTAGAAACGTTTCCCTTGGGAAAGAGGTTAATTTTTTGTATACTAATTACAAATTTTTAGTTCTTTTAATTTCTTATTTAAATTACAGCTCTAAAATAAGGAGCAGAGAGAAACGGATTTTGCATGCAGTTCTTTAATATTCACTGCCCAACTTACTTACATAGAAATTGAATAAAAATGCTTGTTTGCAGTAAATTCATTTTTCCCCCAGTACATTTTTTTACCCTATCTTAACTATTTTTCTTTCTCATAATTTGCTTATCCAATACGAAATTTTAGCTTTGAGCAGTAACACGATAGGAACTATGTAGGCTAAGTTTGTAGCTGAATGTTAACTCCTTTGTCTTATATAAAGCGTATAAATTCACACCTTTTTTTCTGCAATACCCAAGACACATATATGTGTCATTTCCCATGATAGTTTCATATAAACAGAGATTAAATAAAGCATTAATGTAGAAGATGCCGTTTGAACAAGGCAAAGGTTCTTTCACTATACACTTACAAGTTGCAGTTTAAACACCTGACTTCTTGGAAGCTAAGCTATAGGTTTCTGTGGAATAGAAGAGGCAGTGTACTCAGGTCTGCAGTGATTTCTAAGCCTGTGGACTAACTGTGCTGTGAATGGAGAAACATTGAAGCTAGGTCAGGCTAGAGAATAACAGAAAAATGTTGATGCTGTGCTACATTACCAGTACAGATAACCGCATACTCCACAGACAAGTGTCACTGGCCTTCTTTCTTCTTTTTTCTTCTACGCCCTCGCTCTATCCTCTTTCAGCTCACACCACGATTGCCCCAGATAGATAAGAATCAGTAATATCACTCTTGCCTCAGTCTATCACCAGGAAGAGATTTCAGGAGGTAATTTGACCCAGCTGGAGAAAACATGAAAGTGGAAAATACACTTGTACACAGGAAACGTTACGTTTGCGCCTGGAATTTGCACACATCAGGCTGTCGCGGGCTTCTCCAGCCACCTGTGCTGCTCTTCTTCTTCTAATTGCTTGTGCATATAAATTGGGCTCTGTGCGTGTGGGGATGGTGCCCAGGTGATTCACAGGAATCTTCACCGCATCCACCTTTGGGAAGTTGTCCCTTGCGGTTTCAGTCAGGAACAGATGTTGTTAAGTACAGAGTTTGAGTAGAAGGTTCTTATTTTCCTTTGAGGCTGAAAAATAAAACTGTTTTGTTCCACGGTGTTCTCATCACCTAAAATTTAGAGTTACGTGGATGGGAAGGGCATGTGTGCTTGTGGGTTAGATCTGGAGACCAAAAGTTGCCGAGTTCTCAGTGCATTTCCTACTATACCTCTGACTCACCATGAGAACCTGAGCAATAACTGTCTGTAAAGCACTGGTACGAACTTGCTGAACGAGCAGGCTCTGAGCCCTAATTTCACTCTGTACAGTGCTGCGAGATCTTCGCCATGTGCTGTGAGAAATGCAAAGTAACCCTAACAATAGCAAAAGTAAAAGTGAAGTGGATTTTATTGCACTTTGCTGACAAAGACTCCCAAGTGCTTTAAGCAAGTATCTTTTCAAGCCATTAATCAGATTTTGCCATTTTAATAGTAGCACACGAAAAAGTACAAAGTTTTTATTTGGAAATGCTACAATTGTGCATAAACAGTTGTTAACTTTGCATCGACGTCTCCGTGGATTAAACACTCCCTAAGTACACATTGACAGCACAGATCGTTACGGTTATGGACCCTTAACATTTAAAATGGGAGGGGAGGGAGGTTGCATGTGTGTGTATTCATCTCCTTGCTCCCTCTCTTTCACAAACTATAAGGTTTAATAGCGATTAACACTAGACCACAGCACTTCTAAATTAACGATAGCCCTGCCAATTCTAATTGGTATTCTAATTAGTCTGACAATTCTACTAATTAAGAACATTAAACTTTTTAACAAAGGCTATCTTTTCGCGTTGTGTTCGGCATAATGGAATTGAGGGTATGGGGGAGTCTGAACTGCTACTTCAGAGAATTGCTGATGATTAAAGAAAAAAAAAATGGGGGGAGCGCGTAGAAAAATTTATGTCCGGTAGCTAAATAAGAATAGGCTATCTGAATTTTACGATATATTAAATGATACAGAAATTGATTGATAAAGTGAAAACTGCAAATCCAGAATACATGGCTGAAAGAGCTTTATCTTCTGGAAACACTGGTTTAGCCCAGGTGCTATATAGATTTGAGTATACTAGACTGAAACTCAGACTTCTCTTTGTTTGGAAAAGCTTATGTTTCTACATTTGCTTTTCTTCAGCTATGAAACAAAAGCAAAGAAAGAAAAAAAAGGCGTTCCATAATGCAAAAATTCCAGTTAATATTTGTTTGTTGTCAGTTGAAAGGTCTCATTTTGAAAACAAAATAGTCCAGCTTTGATTTTATGTATTATATGTGATTTTGAAAAGAAGTATTCTTCGGAGTGCTTTTGAAATGAAATAAAGATCTTTCTTAGTTCCTAAGCATTTTTTTCTCAAAACGAAATTTCATTAGAATCCACCTATCAAAAAGTTTTATGCTGAAAAGAATATGCAGTTTGCTGAAAGAAAACGTCTTCCATTTTCTGCTACTTCAGGTTTCAAGGTCAAACTGTAAATATCTCGTTCCTTATCAAGATTTCTGTTTCTATGGGAGTCAGAGCATTCGCGTAGAGTCTTTGCAAAAAGCTCGTTGATGTTAGTTGGTGCTGCAAGAAGCAAATGAATAACACACAAAATTGAAAGCAATGGTTAGCATTGCTTCAGTATTTATTCCAAGGACCTCACCGACCTGAATGTCAGAGATTTTATTGTGCCAACACCTTGGCGTCAAGGAAGAGTGCAGGAGCACTGAACCTCTATGGATTTGGCCCCCAAGCTGCAAAGACCAGGGTGTAATATACAGTGTATTTCACCGATTACTCCACCAATTTGTTATTGCAGTGCCGGTATTTACACTGTTCAAGGGCTTAGAGATACAGGGAGACAGCTATTCCAGTCACCATCTGTTGGTGACAGTAAATGTTCTCCACATGGCTGTCTTCAAAATTCATAGCAAAATACCCTTTTGAGATAAATTTTACCTAGATGGCTTTACATAGTGAGATGCCTTACAAATCCAAAAGTAGAATGCAAAATATTGGATGCCTCTCTAAACAGGAAGTACATCTCGAACACAAGAATGAGGCCTGAACATATTATAGTACATTATTCAGAATGTATCCCTTTCAATACTTTGTAAAGCATATATTTTTCTCTCCTAGTCACATTGCTGTAATAGTGAATCAAACTGAAAACAGTTTTTCTCCAAACGTAATAATTTAATTAAAGACGATCGCAAAGAAATCAAAATAAGGCCAGTTACATACCAGCTGATAGTAACAAACCATAGCAAAAAAAAAAAAAATACAGAAAGAGAGAGAAAAGAAAAAAAGTTTCCTAATTTGCAAAGGTATATACCTATCCAGTACTGTTTCTGCTGACCACTGATAGTGTTAACAATTATTTTGCAAACTATGTCCTGTATGACCTTTTCCGAGTACTTTCAAAGTTTAAAGAGCCAAGCCTCCAGTAAGGCCGTGCAAAACAGGTAGGAAGTCACCTTATATGGCAGTTAGCACAATAGAGAGGAAATGAAAGCAGGCTTAGGGCTCAGCAGGCCCAGCTCCCTTCTTAGAAAAGGGAATGAGGCCAAAAAGAAGGGCTTTTTGCCAAACTTCTGGGTTCATTCTGGCCACGGTTGCTTTAAACTATTCAGAGATTCAAACCAGTCTTTAGCCAGCCCAAGGACCAAAATGTAAACTCAGGACTGCCAAAAGATACCGCCTGGTTTCCTTTGCGCATCGTGTAGGGTGAGGCCGCTTGGCAGGGCAGTAACCTGCCACGATGGCACTGTGGGCTCACGACTTGCAGGAAACACCAATTTTCACGAAGCCTGGTGGATGAAGAAGCTTGTAAACCAGAGAGTTTACAAAACTCCTTAGAGATTACGCAGATAGAGTTTTCCAAAACTACCACTGAATTCAGCCTGTACTTTAAAATGTTATAATCTCACCTTTCCTTATGGCAGTATGTAGCTTCATGTTGATTTTGGCTAATTTTATTGACTGCTGTTAGACAATGCCGTTTCCTAGATAAGGTTCGCAGATCTTACCCAAAATCGTCTATACAAGTAAAAGAAAAACCCTTTCTTGAACGTAGGCATAACTCTTCTCTCTTGTACACTTTAAGACTTTGGAACCGTCATTCTATTTCAAATCTTTTCTTCTTTAGTCTGTCCTAGCAAAACTAAGAAGCTTGCAATGGCGATCTAAGAAATCTACTTCTTGCAACATTAGTGTGTCCACTTCCCCAAGAATTCTGCTGAAAAACGTATTTAAAGGCTTTTTTATAAAGATGAGAAAGATTAGTTACTTACCGATAGATTTGTAGCTATAATAGCTCATGCATCACTGGAAAAATGTTCTTTAAGCATCAAGCGGGCAACTCTTTTTGGAGAAAATTCACTACCGCCCAATATGAATTCAACACCGTTTTACATCTGAGCTGAAACGTGCCTTTCACTTTCTCAGAAGCTTGTGGATTGAATCCAGAAAGCAATTAAAATTAAAAAAAGACATTCTACTTGTGGTCAAATTCTGTCACCTGATCTCCCCTGGTGTCTGGGGAAAATTGATCCTATGGATGAAATAGCTCAAGTGACAGGGCTTCTGCTCTTTGTTGTGACAGCAACGTGCTATGTTTTGGGGCAAAATGCAGTGGTCAGGGGCCTCCAGAGTGTCCATCTTCCACTGCCTTCAAATCAGTGAAGATTTGTAGAGTTTTTTGTAACAGCAAGGAGCAGGAAGGCTAAAGGATTCTGCGACTGTACACTTCATCTGATCTGTTCCTCAGAAATAAATTCTGGAGTGTTTAATCAAATAGACATCTGGTTCTTGAATACTCCTAATGTTTGCACTGGGCATTTTAAATCAGTGGGAATGAATTGCTTACATACACTCCAGGATCTGCACTGTAAGCTCCTTGTACCTTCCTCTTCCTTCCGTAAAGTAGTATTTTGCAGCTCCATAGGAATGTTATAACAATAAACATTTAGTTCTGACGCTGGCTTGGGGAGGAGTGTTGGGGGAGGTTTTTTTTTTTTTTAATCTAGAGTTATCTTTTTTGTGATAAGGAAATCTCTCTAGTGAAGAGATCTTTAAATACATGCGCTATCACATGCTGCCTTTGCTGGTTGGCAAATGCAAATGCTGGGAGCAGTCAAAAGTGTCATACAGCTCTGGGAAATGTGAGGGAGGCTGAGTTCATAAACAGTTTGGGATACTTGATCCAATAGCTTTTCTGCTTTTTGAATGGAAACTTTACTCGTCTTCATCTGACCGGTATCTCAGGAAGAGCCTTGGACAAGAGGGTCATAAATTCGGATAATAAAAGGCAAACGAAAAGAAGCAGATATTATTCCATTATAGTAAACCTGAGCCATCCTGTCCCATTCTTAAAATTGTTTTGTAAAAAGAAGCCCCTCAGCTGAGCTCTGCTGTTAAGAAACTACCTGTGCATACATACATAAGAGAAAGAATTGAGGTTTCGTAGGCAACTGTAGGTCTGGCATTTCCTACTTTCCGTCACTCAATTTCTCAGCCTCAACAATCTGCTTTTAAAATAGGTTTAAAAGAGTTGTTATTTCTGAAGTCTTTTTTTCTAAGGTGTTCAGATATTATTTTAGCATGCTGCTAAAATTTGCCTGAGGAGTTCAAGTAAGAGAAAGGAAATGATGATTCTTAAGAGCTTACAGCTCACCTGAACCTGGATAAAATTTCATGGGGGTAAAGAAAAGTCATTCTTCTAGCCTGAGGGCTTCCTCCCTACTGAATTTCAAAGGTCTGCTGCAAACAATGGAAATGTCAGAGTTTCTCCAAAAAGTTTGCAAGGATCTTTTACAAAGTTCCCCTTACAAAACCTCCTATAATTTCCTGGGAGGGAACTGTCCACCAGAAGTTTTCATTATTCTTAGGTTTTGTTTTGCACTTCTGTTAAGTCAGTGTTAGTTTAACTTCTCTATTTCCTTTAAATGTCTTGCATTTAATTTAGAGCATGCTGCATGGTCCCAAACAAACTGCTCATCTCAGCATGTGCTTTCTGTACGGCCGTTTGGCTCTTCTCACTACATCTCTAACTGCATCCTCTAACTGAGCCGCTGCTACTCATGTAGATCTCCCACTGCTTCCAGGAGGGACTTTGCCCAGCACAGGCTCAGGATTTAGAGTTTAGCATGTTGTCACTCACCGCAGAGCAGGTAATCCTCCTGTAGGGAACAGACTCCAGGAAGGGAGCAAAAGCACTGGGAAACTCCACGTGGATGATGTAGGGAGAATTTCCTGTTAAATGCCTCTTAAATCAGAAGGTTTGCAGGAGGGGGAAGAAAACAGCCTGTCAGACTCGCAGGTTTTGCAAGGAAGGAGCACGCCAGGCTTCTGGAGGAAAAAGCATGTGCCCCAGCCAGGAGGGCTGCCTGGGGAATGGGAAGCGGTGCAATGCTTGCAGGGTCACTCACACTCGCACTACTTCCTCTGGAAGGGACTGGCAAAGCCAGTCCCAAAAAACAGGTTCTGATGTGAACCGAGACATCCTCAAAATGGAAACACAGAAGAAGCATGCCTGGGAATTCCTGTAGGCACCGGGAGAAGAAAAAGAGATAAAAAGCAGCACTGCTATCTAGTTGTTTGACACGGATTGCCATTAAAGAGTAGAGCCTGTTCAGCGGTGTCAGGATATGTGCCACAGCCAAGGGTCTATATCGGACCCTCAAAAAGCTGCAGGGCTTACTGATTTCGGAGTATCTTCAAGGCAGAGTAATGGACAGTGAGACAATCCTAGTTACCGAGTATGAATGAAAAAAACAATTTCTCAGATATGCCATAGGGTTGCTTCACACCCCAAAGCAACAGGAATGCTCTTAAACCCCTGCAGGTCCAAGAAGTAACAACTGGTCTGAGTAGAACATTGTTCCCAAGAGAAAAGAGGTATCTTAAATCCCATGTTGTTGCAAGGTACATATCACCTATTAACGTGGTATCAAAACTTCCAGTCTATATTGTGCCATCACTTTTCCAGGTGGAATGCAATCAGATTAATGCAAGATTAGCTCAATTTTTTTAAAGTGCGTCTTTCTTTAAAGTATTTATTCCTACTCTCTCTCAACTCATTTATATTACTGTAAGCAGGAGTAGCTCAAAATTAAGAGGATTATGCCAAATGTATGTCATATCTAAATCAGAGCCATTTTATTCATGTGCTTCAGTAATCTTGGAGCAATTTCTGGTCACAAACTCATTTTTGGTTAACCATATTCAATTAGTGTTAGAGTCCATTTTCAGATTCTAAATTCATGTTTTACTCAAGTGACTCCCATTAAAATGGAGTAACTAACCCCTCTGCAGCTCTTTCATATTTGTCCCTAACAGCCTATTCAAAACATAAAACTAAGGATGTCTGATTAGAGCAAAAAGTACATCCTCATTACAGGGGGCTTAGGCAGTGCAAAGCACACTTATAGTATCTTGCAGCATTAGCAGCTGGGTTAAAATCATGTTTTCAGACTGAACCAAATCCTCTTGAACTAATGTAGGTTAGTTCTCTGAATCCAGGGCTCCTTATTAGCGTCTTCTTTAATCTCCCCTGGTAGAAGGACGCATACCCCGGTACATCTCTGCAGCAGCAGTGGGAGAAGGGCTAAGCAAATTTCACGGGAACGGCTGCTCCCCCTCAGAAAGTGGTGCAGAGGCTACACCCCTGTCCTGCGGATGCAGAGAGGTAGAAAAAGGCTATTCACTCCTGGAAGGGATGCACATCGCCCTTCCTCCAACCTTACCAAGTGCAAACGCCATGTAGGACAGCGTCGGTCCAGCTCCTTCTCCTCAGTCGCCCCCGTCCCTCCCCAGTAGCCCCTCCAAGGAGACAAGGTCCTGCCTCTGTGGGTAGCCCCAGTTCCCGTAAGTGTGAATCTCACTGGGGGCTGTGGTCTTCCAGCCCAAGATACAAGATACCATTTATCAGGCTCAAGGTGCCTTGTTTTTGTTAAAAAAAAAAAAAAACACAGGTGCTCCCATCTCCTCCGAGTTCAGAAGTCAGCAGGAGATAGGAGCCAGGAGCTACTGCTTTTCATATTGTTACCCTTATAGTTGGTCCATCTAGTTGGTGCCCCTCGTGGCCTCTCCTCACCACTTAGGGTACACCGGGCATACATTTCACCAGAGTTTCCCTCCCAAAGCAGTGAAGGCACCAGCAGAGAGAAGCGGCCAGTGAAACTGTTGCAGGTGTATGGTCCGGCTCTGGCACACACAGCAAACACGGTGCCAAGCAGGTGTGGAGCGGGTGTTTCTCGTCCCCCTCAGGTATTTGGGCCGTTCACACGGGTGCTGCGGCAGGAAGGAAAACTCACTCCAGCGCAGCAGTGAGCAAAAAGGAGTTTTGCGTTGTGGGAGTGTTACCTTGACTTTATGCATGCAGGGAGCAAAGTTGTTGTGACTTTTAGTGATTTCAGTGGAAAGATGGGGAGGAGGGGAAAAAATGGCTAGATTTAGTTTTCTCTCCCCCTTCTGAAGAGTCCCCTGCTGTAGGCGATGTCTCACTACTACCTATGCATGGCCCAGACTACGACACGCCAAACCATATGAGCAAGGGTATCAGAAACTCATCCTGAGCAAACATCATCGAGACATCCAGTAATTTTAAGGCAGTTCTTCTTTTACAGCGTGATTTGGAGCTACAGACCAGGGAGGGTGGGAGAGCACCATGGAAAGAAAAAAAAAAAGAAAAAGAAAAAGAAAAAAAGAAAAAGTGGAAACATTCCCCGGAGATCCGATTAAAGTATATTGAAGTTATTGGAAGGACTCCCATTGATTTCAGCACAGTTTGGGTCAGTCCCCTCGATGCATGGTGGAGTTTCTGCAGTCCTTTGAACTCAGTATTATTTCAATAAATCTATTAATGTTTAGCTGTGTTTAATGTAGCATAATAATATTGCATTTGAAATAGAGCCATCGTTATAATTTGAACTGTACAGTTTGGGCACAGAAAAAATTTTTGCAGTATGTATTCAGTAACATTTGGTGCTTGTAGCCATTCTATAGAATGCATTTAATTCTGTGTTTTGTGTATTATTCTTAACATGCATTCGCAGTAGACAGCAAAGCAGCAGTTAGGAGGTATGCTGTGAATGCATATTAACAGCAGTACACATTTGCATATCATGGATCCATAATACAAAATGCGTAGTAAAAATCCTTATGAAAAGTTATTATGCATGCACAGTAGAGGCTTTTTAAACCTTGATATCTCAGCTATTTTGTTTCTCCACTATTTATTTGAAAATACTAAAAAGGTCAAATGATGGATTAAGAATCTGCAAAAATGTAATGTTACTACTACGGAGGGAATCCTTCAACACAAACTAATTCATTTATTTTATTTTTAGTGGCAGTATAAGAGCCGTCC